ATCATCTAAAGTCATCACAGCTAAAGGCGAAACATCAAAAGAAGAATCAAAACTCCCAAAATAAGATCTAAGACCGTCTGTCTTCTTCAACTCTTGAAGGCATACGATCCGTCTGCTCGCGTCTACCCTCCACTCTCGACCACGTTTGGAAGCGATCTACTTCTGTCCGGAATGCTTCGCGCTGAGCTGTACTGCGATGACGTTTGCTGGCAATTCTAATTCAGCATTGGGCGTTGATGATTCCCACAATTATGCAAGATATCTCTTTATGTTTTTTCAAAGTGAAGAACATTAGTTGACTAATACATGCTTGCTGAAACTTGTAAACAGCTTAATCCTCATTGAAGATAGTACCCACGGAATAATCATTCACGTCTCATTATCGGCTATTTACTGTTACAGAATTTAAACTCTTGGGGACCTATAAAAGAGATCTTAAATAAGCTTGATACAGTATTTGTAAGTAATAAATATACAAATTGATCTACTCAGTTTTGCGTAACTTCTTTTGACTTCAATACATTTGACTCAAATTCCGACAGAAAAAAAGTATTCATTATGTCCCTTAAATCATTCCTGAATAATATCTTTATTATCATCATTGTCGCTATAACATGAACAAATCAAATATTTCTTTAGTTTTTAAAACAAAACAAATCAAATGAAGGACAGTCTGATAAGTACTGCGAGTGTTGAAAAAAATTCAGTTTTCATTGCTATAGTGTTATCAGTCAAAAGCAACCATTTTTTTGCAGAATTTTACCAAGATTTGTTTTCCTTTATAGTCTGTTGGAGTTTTCACAAGCTGGCATTCTAAAACCGTGTTACCGTTTTATTTCGCAACAAATAAAGATCGTTCTTCGTTCCAAAGAATGTTAAATATTTTTAATAAATTTCTATGTTCTGAACATATTCCAGAACATATTCAAGAGATCCACTGTGCTTCCACAGTATGTTCTCTAATTTCGTTTTTGGGTTATTTTAGCTGACTGTTATCGTTAGCCATAAATTGAAATTATCTTCATATCTTCATTCGCAGTAGTCACCGAAAGCGATTCTCCAGAACCGCCAACCCAGGTTTTCTTCATTTCTGACCTACCCATTCTTAAGGTGCAAATCTTGCGAAATTTTTCGATAAAACCAGATCCTCATGCAACATTTCTTCTCACCCCCTCCCAGTAATGATACCCCTTTTCATCGTAATGATAGAAATTGTCACAAGTTGTTTTTCTGTCCCAGATTTCTCATCTTGCATCTATACAATTCGTCTTCCATGATTATGTTCATCCAACGAAAATCTATAGAGTCATTTTCAAGTAACTCATAACCTTATGTAAATATGACGATTCACTTTTACCTCCTGCCAACGTATCTTCGTAGATTCTGGTGATAATGTGTTCGTTCCAAAAATTCAATAGTGAGTTTTTAGTAAATACGCTCTCCCACAACACGTTTTTACTATTTTTACAATATTGTCTGTCCGTATGTGCGTGACGATGTTTACGTCCACGACAACTCTTACATTAAACTTGCAGAAATTTCTGTTTTCTGTGTTTAAGCTTTCTGATTTCATATAAAGAGTTGACTAGATTTTGTGTAAAACTGACAAGCGGAAGTGATACTTTACTTGAAACTTATAACAGTTTTTAATTGGCAACCGGAAGTGGTTACTTGAGCCCATAAGAGCTTTTAGTGATAAATTGTTTTAAAATACATTCCAAAACTTTTCAGTCTCATCATTTAAAACTTTTATATCAATTGGAACAATATATTGCCTTTTGGCTAAAACTAATAAACTGGAAATGATACTCCCTCGAAGCTATAAATAGATTTTCGTGAAATAAGGTATTGTGGTGTAATCCAAAACTTTTTAAGTTTGTCACTTAACTCGTATATACATAAATGATGCATATGGGATCCTGACTGATAATGATATATTAGATTTCCATTATGTATGCTAAACCGGAAGTGGTACTTTCTGTTTTTCACATATAGTTTAAAATCTTATATGATTCTTCATCTCTTAACAGATTGTAATGAAACAATATAGAATCGTTATGCTGAGAGTTTAATATCAAAAGATTCAGCACATATGAAGGTAATTTCTATTGTATCTAGACACGATATTTATTTATTCCCAAAATTCATTTAATACAAAATATGCTGTTGCACTGCGTAGGGTGACGAAGCATCAGAGGAAACAAAAAAATTCAAACATACTTTCTTCAATTGACTTCTTACTAATACCACACCTTGCGGTTGTCACCATTCATCCATAATTAAAAAACGTAACAAGCATTTTTTACTGTTACCTGACTATCGCAGGAATTTAAGTGCAAATCAAACTGAATTTAGATTTTTTGATACTATAGAAATAACATAGAAGAAACCCATATTACGGTATTCATTTTAAATACAATATAGTGTACATATTAATTGGGACAAAACGATTTTTTTCACAAAATTTTAAGCTGGTTACTAGCTAGTGCCAGCAGGTCCCTCAAAGCAATTTTATCTGCTTTAAATCGTCTGGTTGTCTACTTCTACATTTCCAGAATCCTAATAAATTAGGATTATTGCGCCATTTTTAAACCTGTTTCTCTGAAAAGAGAAGTTACTTTTGCATTCTTTTTAAATACGTTTTCCATGCATTCATTTTAGTGCACCAAAAATAGATGTAACACCTAGAAAGAGAGCAGATATTATTGCATTTAACAGTAACACAACCATGACTGTGAGAAATATTGCTTTTGCTGCTGGTGTTGGAAAACGGAGCGTTCCTCGAATACTGAGGAGCCAAAATGAAAGTAGATCATTTTCTTTCGAAAGGGAGGGCAAATGTTGCAGGAAAATGAAAACAACTACAAACTGTGATAGGTTTCCTACTTCAAAACAGCATCATTAATCCAACAAAAAATAGCAAAGGCCTTAAAAGAGATCTAATGTCTATGGGCATTGATATTCATCCACTTCAAATGTGCGGCATAGAACTTCTCACTACTAGTAGGAAAGTGGGAAACTCAAGTAGAAAACACTTTTTCACGCGTCATATGAAGTAAAAACTATTATTGTGCGCCAGAAAATATAAATCTTGGACCATAAATGACAATAAAACGGTTGTTTTCAGCGATAAGACTCATTTATTTGTTCATGATTACATATCTAACGTTATTAGAAGAAGCAAAGCTAAGTTAATAAGACATCAACATATCCAGTAAATTGTAAAATGCTCTGGAAAACAAATGTTTTGAGGGTATTTTTGACAGCAGATGACACTAGAAGTCTAGTTCCGATTGACGGAATGCTGAATTCATAGAGGTATATAGAAATTTTAAATCGCAAAATTGTGCCCTTTTAGAAAACCTTTGCAGGGACATTTCAGTGTGCCACAATTTGAAATCTATCAGAAAATTTAAGTTGGAAAATAAATTCGTTGCGCTAGATTGGCCTAGAAATTCACCGGACTTAAATCCAATCGAAAACTTGCTGCATATTCTCAAGGAACATCTTAGCAAAATAATTAAAATAATTAATAAATAAAATTGTACGACAAAAGAGCGCGTGGATTAAGAATGCTACAAAAGTATAATTCCATGATAAAGAAAGAAAACCTGTTTGCGCAAGACCAGGGAACTTAGCGCATTGTAGAGGTCATTTCCGCTAAAGGAAAACTCATTTCAAATTTATTTTTAAATTATCACTCATTTATCTCATATTTAAATTATGAGATTAGAAGGTATGTACATAAACTGTCAGAAATATCCCTTTGTTCCAACTAATTTTCATACTATAGCATTATAAACACTTAATTCTCCTTAATGGAAAACTAATTAAATATTTTTCACCTGCCCAATAAATTACGAATTTGATTATTAAAATAAAAGGTAAAGCATTTGATTATGCTAGTTTAAATTTAGAAAAGCCAATTTTTATCCATGGCTAATGATATCTAATAAAATATTAGCCAAAATTTCCTATTACAGACTTCTATATTTATTGAAAAAAAAAATTAGATTTCATTTTCAAACGATCATTTAGAAATGATGTCTTTGAAACTTGCTGGTATTTGAAACATGGAATTGGCAGGAGATCATATGCTGGCTACATATAAGATTTTTTATGGTGGTGAAAGAAGTTGTACCAGTATAGACTGAAATGCTACGATACCCCGAATATTTTGCCTTCCTTCGTCAAGAATTCAATTAGTGAATAATGTCAGATGTCTTTTAACATGTACAGACATGATGGACTAACAATTCTTTTCCTGCGTAACAAAAATCAACTAATAAGTTTCAGTAACTTGTGCATTTGTTTCCATACTTCAGAATAATGGCAATATCGAGGTTTCCCTCCTACTAGAATTGTTTTATAGTTAGGCTTATTGAATGCTCACTGTAAAACTATGGTGTTCGTTTTACAAAAGTAAACTTTGCGTTTGCTTACCTGTTGTTACCTTGTTCTAGTTGAAATTGTAATAAATGTAAAACTTGAATTTTTAAGGACTACAAATTTTTCATTTAAAACATCAAGAAGTTCACTCAGTCATTTTTTCCTAAAAGTGCTGTTGATCAGAAATTTAAAAAAAAATCTGATCTAAAGCTGAAATGGAGAATAGCAACAGTGACCTCAATTATAATGTATTACTTGAGCAATTAGTCAGTATATCACATCTACGAATTAAATGCTAACCTCTGTCTTTTAAATGGTAATTACATATTTATCATTATCATACCACCCTATTCATATGAAATGTGTATTCTTCTCTCCAATGGTGACAATATATGAAATTGAAAATTCAAAAAATAATAATAATAATCTTGGTTGCTGATTTTAGATCAAATAATGCTGATTTTAGAAACTTTGTTCTAATGCTGTTGTTTCAGTATATATTTCAGTCTTCAAAGCAGTAATTTCAGTACATCACATCATAGAATATTTATATACTGCTTTGAAAACTGATTATCTTAACATTAATTAATATTTATTAATACCTTAACCAGCTAGCTACTTCTTCGATGAAGAGGATTATGACTCTCTCTTTGACGAGCCAGAACCTGGAAATACACCTCAGTATTCAGATTCTACAACGACTACAGAACCGAGTCAAGACGACGCAAAAGATCAAAAACCAGTTCAAATGACGTCCATCTATCCTATCTTATTTGATCGCCAAAACAGAGATAGCCGCTACTTAGCCACGGTTCTAGGGGACGCTCTTATCAAAGGTCTTACCCAAGTCGCTGCAAGGCGACCAAGAGACCCTATAGGATATCTGGCAACATACCTTTACCAGTATGCAGCGAGGAAAAGTGGAAGCAGACTCTCATCTAAAGAGGAAGAGACGGTAAATAGGAATTTTATTCTAACAAAAAAGAACACGCCGAAAAGTTAAAATTAATAATTATTAAACGACAAGAGTCAGTGTATCGTCAGTAAATTTTCAGGACTATAGTTTCGAAAGTCAAATATTTTTTTCAGCTGCAGGATTGAAAATCACTTCAAAAAAGAGAAATGGATCTGCATAAGGGCAATAGAGAGAAAATTGTAAAAGTTCTAGCAAAATGACAGAAATTGACGCCATTTAAAATGATGGCCGTGAAGAGAGACTAAAATTGGGACTAGAGTCCAAAACTGAAAGAAATATGAAAAGTCTCTTCGCAAATTAGAATTCCAGCGGTATTTCACTTCTACAATTTTTCTCGATTGAAATAATTATTTAATTCTAATCCCTTTTTTACTATCAGTTTTTCAGAAATTTCTTTCGTAGGTGCTTTTTTTTCACTCATCTATCAATAGATAAGGATACTCATCCTTCCAGTAGCTTCAATCTCTATCATACAGCTGACACACTATAGATTTTCTAAGGAAAGTGGCATTTCTATTTTCTAAAGCAACGTTGTTCCAGTATGCCTTTTTTCGTTATTTTGAATCCGTAGCTGAAAAAGTAGGTTCTTATTTAACCTTCGAAACAATTATCCTGCAAATTTGTTTATGTCGATGCTCGCTGTTTAGAGGGCCAGCGTCCGAGCGGTAAATTCGCTGAAAACTGATAGTTCGATCTGGGATCGAAACCCGGCGAGAGGGCTCGCTGCGTGGTTGTTCTTCGTGGCTTTTTCTGTATGTAACGCGGATAAGAACGAGTTTCCTTAAAATGTCTTCCACGAAGGCATCTCTTCCCATAGGCAGATAGCCTTAAAGTTGCTTTGTCTTAATCAATTAACCTAACCTTCTTGCTGTTTTCATTTGTTACTTTAACCTTTAGGAGTATTATTATTTATTTCGCATTCAATGAATTATAGAGACCATTAGGTATTTTATTTTTGAGCAGGATAATATTGAAAATGTGCAATGCCCTTGCTGGGACTTGAACTCCGGATCTTCCTATTGCTAGCCAGAAGTGCTTTCGAATTACACAACGAAAGCACGCGGCTAGGGAAGAAAACATACCTCGCATAAGTTAACATTCAATACTGACAGTTTGAATTATTCTGGGTTGATTCTTAAATGTTATGTTTGGTTTCTATAAGTGAATACTGACATTAATAATTGATTTGGCTTTACGAATCGTGTTTTCCCGTTGCATGCATACCACTTTTACACTTTTTTTGCATTAATATAATATAAATTCTAAGTTATTAAAAACAACCAAAAAAGTCTTTAAAAAAAGAAAACAAATTAATATGTAGAGACATTAGGTTATTTCGAAGTAGGAGAGATGAAAATAAATGAGCAATACCCTCGCCGGGACTCGAACCACGAACCTCTCGAATACGCGCCGAGCGTGCTGACCACTACACCACGAAGGCATGCTAAGAAGGTGGGAGAAATACCTCCTTGTCGGGACTCGAACCACGGGCCTCTTGAATACGCCCCGAGCGTGCTGACAACTGCACCACGAAGGCATGCTAAGAAGGCGGGAGAAATACCTTATAAATGCATAATGATTTTGTTTCTGTTGGAAAGTATAATTTAGATTTAAGGCATGTAACATTTCCTCCCCGCTTCATCGTTAAAATCACACCCCATAAATGCATTATCAGCACCCTGGGCAAGTTCTAATGAGTTAAAAAGGTCAATTTGCCAATAAATTGTTTAATAATATAGGTGTCTAATAAACATAGGTAAATTAATAGGTTCTCAATTCATGCTTGGTACCATAACTGCTCTTAAAATTTGAAGTCAATCAATTTATGCTTACCAAATACACAATGAACGTTATTCGGCTGAAGATGCATATTTTTTGCTGTTTTCTTATCGTGAGCAGCAATCAGTATAATACAAGAACTAATGCAATCCTTATTCTATTAAAATTTGATAAAAATGACAAGTTCGATGAAGAAGGATACGTAAGAACATTTCACATGAAAATTAAATGCGTCAGGCACGTGACAGTTTACTCAAATGTTGTTTTCGAGGAAGTCTAGTGCCAAACTTTTCCGTCCATATTGAAAAAAAAAAAAAAAAAAAAATTGTTCTATTGCGTCTAATTGCAGGATCGAAAGACTGTTTGTATCAAGGATTGTCAAATTGTACATGGTTTACTATGAAATTTTTTTCAGTCTTGTAAGAAAATACGGTGCGTAAAGTCATTCACAGGCAGAATAAAGAATGCTCAAAGCTATCTGAAGAAAAAATTTAAACTTCCTGAATACTCCAAATGTGAGAAATGTTTTGGATGTTCTGGTGCTGGTGTTTTATTTTCGTAAAAATGTACAATTCTGTCAAGATATTTTATGGAATCTTTTTTGGGTGTGTGGGGGTGGGGTCTGCCTTCGGCTGTTTGAAGAAAGGATCATCGAAATTAACTTCACTGCATAAAAATTTGCTTTACCTGCATCAAATCAATATCATACGCGAAAAATTGAATGGATTTAAGTATATTAGTTACAAGCACATAAAGAAATAATGCTTCTAATCATGTATCGAGATATTTATTACAGTGTTTGTACAGAATAACGTATCCGCTGAACTAAGAATTTCACGTACATTGTATCTCTTATATCATGAACTCTCCACTCCTAAAGCAATGTTTAAGCAATACAGCTCTAGACAAGTCTCATATGAGAACTATATCTTATGATTAGTGGTATAAAGCTAATAATGATTGTACTTTTAAATGTATCTGCAATTGTTTGTGTATTGATTTTTTATTTTGTAAATCATATTAGTTTTTTTACAGAATAGTGGTTTCATCTGGAGTGTCTTTTTTAATCTCCTTACGTATACAAATTAAGTATTTGCCATACGTTGGATACCGGTGTATAGTTATTGCTATGAGGAAAGAAAGTTCAGTACAAGCTATTTACTAAAATTTCGTGATATAATAACATCGTATAACCTTCTTGATTTACACTTTCTATTTTCTAGAATTTTGTGTTTGAAATAACTAAACTCGCAGCTTTCATGATACACATCAAATCTTAATTTGTCATTTTTATGCGAAAAGAATGAAACTATATCTTATTTTTCGTTGAAAAGTTTCAGAAACCATTATGGTATCGTTTAAATTTGATTTATCGAAATGCACTTTTGAATAGTTTTTTCTAACATAATTAGAGTATGTTTGCGCTAGGCCTGTAATAAATGTTATTTAACATGGAAAAATTGTATTTCAGTAAATTTCCACTCTGCTGAATTAATTTATGTTTTTATTATTTCACATTTTAACTTGTATTTTCTTTATGATAGGCTGACGACTCTGGTGAAACAGAAGGTAATTCTTCTCCAGTAAAAGCTCAAACATCAAATGAAACAAATGAAACCGAAAAACAAAGGTATTCATGAAAAACCCATACTGTTAAACGAAGAATATTTTCTTTCATTTAAACTCATTTTTATACACATTGAGAGGAAGTTTTTTTTTTCTTCTTACTATTATTACGGTTTCTTATGATTCTTTGTAAACAAAACAGAATATCATACTACTTGTTTTAAACAGCAACTTGGTAGCGAAAACAAATTTATAAAGAGCCCAATTAGATACTTTATCATTTTAAAAGTGATAAAATAGTTTTTAAGTTAATAAAACTTTCGAGTTAATAAATCTTTAATAAATCTTTTAATAAGGATATTACATTTTATAATTAATACGTTATTTAATATAAATGCGTATAGATAAATAATAATTTTTGCTCTTGCACTGCATTTAGGAAGTTATGTTCCTGCTAGCAGCAACTGTTTCAAGGCGTGTAAACTGAGAAAGAAGACATAGTAATATTTCCGATAATTTAAAACATTTCATTTGAATGAAGTATAATAAACAGAACTAGGGATTTTTTTTTCTACTTCTTGCTCTAAAAGACGTGAAATGGGAGAGTTCATTCTGCGGAGAAACTCTAGTACGATATGCCATTTTTATTAATAAACCATTAACGTAGCAGAATTTCGCATAAAAGTTAATAGTTTAATTTCACTACGCAATTAGCATGGATACGAAGATAAAAGCTATTTTTAAATCAATTATTTAATTCATATAATTCAAACTGGTAATAAGATATATTTTTTATCTATAGCAAGTTACAGTTAAACGTAATCGTAGGGTCATTCAATAAGATCATTAATGTACCATTAACACAGCATGTTGCTAATGTGTTTGCCTTCCCTGCTCTCTGGATATCCATACCTGTTTTAAAAGTAATATCGCCGCAGTAATAAGTCACAAAAATACCGGCTCGGTGAAATATGAGTGAGTGTCAGCCATCCGCAAATTTAGATAATGAAATCTCAGCCGCCGAACAAGCCTTCGGTAGAATTAATATACACTTAGAGAGAGCTAATCTCCCACCCAATGTCAAGCTCTTACACAACCCTAAAAAAGTAAGCTATTGCTGATCTCCTTAAATTCAACTCAGTTGAAAACAAAACTAGCGATGATCTCAAACGTATAGCGGAACTTGAACGCATCATTCAGGATTACGACGCACATACTCTTAAATCTGGCCGTCATGCATAAAAATCAAACAAACAATTCCATTGCATCGGAAAATAATGAACGAAAGCGATGCTATGTTAAAGGCAAAAGGCATCTAATCAAACACAAAAAGCGATGCAAATAATATCGAGCGTCCGACTATATCTAAGAATAAGAAAAAGAAAATTACTACGACGGGTTTAAAACCCCCCGTATCACGCATAAACGAACGCATTCAAATTCATCGGAAGCTGAACTACCCGTACAGAAAAATAAGTTCAATGACCTACAGGACGATGACAGCATGGAGCAGGAATCGAACTCAGAGTCCGCAGGATTTACTCTCGTCAAAAAAAGCACTGGACATATTCCCCCAATTGTTCTCTCAGATTTTACAGCCAACTGGGATACGTTAAAAGAGGAAATTCGAAAATTTAGGAGTAAAAAAAAGTCAAAGGCAATTCTCACAGGAGATACACTCAACATCAAAGTCTGGGATAAAGATGACTATCGCGCAATCACGGAGTTTCTGGCCAAACGAGGTGTGCAATTCCACACATACAAAATTAATTCCGAAAAACCAATCAAAGTAGTAATTAAGAAGCTGCCTAGAAACTCAAACGTGGAAATAATTCACAAAGAACTCACTGAACACGGAATTCCTGTAGAAAAGATACGTCAGCTCGAAAGATTCCAAGAAGGAAAAATTGTTAAACTGTAAGGATCTTAAGTTTTACTAACGTTTATTTTTTATTTTAAATCTTTACTATCACTTCTTATTTTCTACTTCCGGCCAGAATTATAAGCGTGAAGGTTTTTATGCAAAGTTATCTGGCGAACGCCAAGTATTTAAGTTGTGGCTTTTTGCCAAGCGAGAGAGAGGAATCAGTGAGTTCGAAGCAGGCCGCTTACCTTAGAAGTTACGCAGTTGCTTGTTGCCTTCCAGGCCAGAGGTTTTAATCCTCTTGATAACTTTTAAACGTATTGTAGTGTTCTCAGTTATCTGTACTACATACGCCTTCCTGTTAATATAAGGCCAATCTTCCATGTTTATTATTCTAAAGTTAAATTAGAGTTTAGTTTTATTTTTTATACTTTTACGTTAGACCCCAAGTGGCGGGTCAGTGTATTCCGAAGTACGGAAGTTATTGTAAAATAGAGAAAAATAAAGGGTTTTGTATCCCTTCGT